GTTCCGACTTTCGATACAAAAGTAACGGAATATTTGTGCTCGGGGTGGGTTTTTTTTTCTTCAGACAAACTTCGACTTTTTAACTAGCCTTTTTTGGCGGAATTTTTTTTTATCATTCGAAAGGTATTGATGTCCTGAGCTCAAATTTGAAATGATACTTCACCTGTGATCAATTTTTGTAAAGTTACGGGGGTTTAAAGATTGCCATTTTGGCCAGTTTGGGACAATTAACGCGCGATATATTTCGCGCTATTAACGCGTAAGCGGAGAGTTAATCCGTCTTAGAAATCGTTCCAATTTGGTTAAAAGAAGCTTATTTGCCATAATTGGTTTGTTACAAGGAGCGAAATTTATCCTTTTGTACTTTATATGGCATGTGGGGGGATGATTTTCATTTAAAAATTTTTCACATTTTAGAAAAAACTTTTTTCTTTTGTTTGATTTCATTGAATTTTTTAATGTTATTACTGCTCCATAAACCTTAAAAGGCAGTCGGAACATTCAGGGCTTTGACCTGATACAAGCAGTCTTGTTTTATTTTTCTTGATTATGGCTGCCTTATCAGTCTCTCATATTTTTTTTCAGAAAACAAAAAATAATTTAGCCTCGGGAGAGTTAAGGAAATTCAGCAAAATGTTTTGCCTTTGTATAGATTGAGTTTCAATTCACAAAATGCAGGAATTTGTATCGATACACTAAATATTCACTTAGTATCGTTAAATTTCGTGACTCATTGCTTGTCGCATACATTTTAAATTTCCGAGACTAAAAATTGAGAGCGAAAGTTCAAGCCATCAGATCAAATTGATTATTTCTTTGGACTTCAGAGTTTTTCAGTACTTAACCTTTTGAAAGAAAAAAGTCAAAAGTTGTGGGCAAGGGTGTTTTTTTCAGAAACAATTCGACAAAAGCTGTTTTAGAACAAAATTCTTTCTTGGAGTCTGAAAAACCTTAAAGCCTTGTTGTTCCGACTTTCGATACAAAAGTAACGGAATATTTGTGCTCGGGTGGGTTTTTTTTTTCTTCAGACAAAATTTGACTTTTCAACTAGCTATTTATGACAGATTTTTTTTATATCATTCAAAAGGTATTGTTGTTCTGATCTTAAATTTGAAAAATTATTTCACCTGTGACCTTTTTTCGTAAAGTTATGGCGGTTTAAAGATTTCCATTTTGGCCAATTTGGGACAATTAACGGGCGATATATTTCGCGCTATTAGCGCGTAAGCGGAGAGTTAATCGGTCTTAAAATCGTTCCAAATTGGTTGAAAGACGCCTATTTGCCATAATTGATTTGTTACAAGGCGCGAATTTTATCCTTTTGTACTTAACATGGTGTTTGGGGGGATGATTTTCATAAAAAATTTCAAATTTTAGAAAGAAAAGTTCATTTTTTTTTACATTCAATTTTTAATGTTTTTACTGCTCCATAAAACCTTCAAAAGCCGTCGGAACATTCAGGGCTTCGCACTGATACGAGCAGTCTTGTTTCAATTTGAGAACAAAGTTTTACATATGTGATTCATTTTTGGTAAATCTGTTACTTCTTATAAAATAGCAAAAATATGTGCGTCATTTATCGCGCTTTTAGCGCGTAAGCGGAGAGTTAATCGGTCTTAAAATCGTTGCAAGTTGGTTGAAAGACGCCTATTTGCCATAATTGATTTGTTACAAGGAGCAAAATTTATCCTTTCGTACTTAACATGGCCATTGCGATAAATGACGCACATATTTTTAATTAGGTTGGACAGAAAGAAAGAAAACGCTTTCTTTTGTTACGCGTATTGATTGTTTTTTTCAAAATTTTAACCAAAAATTATTTCTGAAATTTTTAGGAAGAATTGAAGCATTGAGTGTTGTGGATTGAAAGAAGCTGCCTTGTTTAAATTGAAGTAACATCTGATTTAAAAAAAAACTATGAATTGTAACAAAAAAGACTTTTTTTCACAGTAAGTTTTTTTGCCTTTTTTTGCCAAGTTTGATCATTTGAGACTGAATCATTAAGTGAAGCGTTCATTTTTTGTTTTCGATCTGTTATGAAATTTATACCACCTCTGCATATAACTTGTCAAGTTATTTAATTAGATTGCTCCAAAAACTTAAAAGCAAACTTTTGATAATTTTTTTGTCAAAAAATTTGATTTGATAAACCTATTTTGGAGCCAATTGTACCAAAAAAGTTCCATTTTAAAATTTTAAAATTTAGTTAATATAATTGATTGAAGTTTTGCGAATGTATAATTTACTGGATAGATTCGATTGCAATTATAATTCTGTCAATGCAACCATCCAAGTTAGAAAATTTAGTGACGGTAAAAATCTGATGTTGCCAGAATAAATTCAATCTACTTATTGTACCGCTGGGTGATCAAAACTAGTACGGTTTTTGCACAAATTATTCAGAAAAAAAATGGCCAAAATATACAATTTTGGAAGATCGGTCAAAACATCGCAAGCTCGAGTCAAACCCAAAAAATACGTTTTACTTCAGTCAAATTAGTCAGCATATTTGTCACATCTCGATTACAGTAGAAAAAATTGAACACTCATTCAAACACTGACATGTTTTTCTGCAATATATATTTTTAGTCAAAACAGTTCCTCAGGACAGCTAAATCGAAATAATGTTTATTTGCCCGAATAAGGTCAAAATAATTCCATGAGGTTATTTTCTGCTCCTGGAAACATTTTTCTCGGGCGAGTTCAGTCAAAAAATTTCCCTTCGGTTAGATACTGTAGCGTGTAAAAGTTTTGTCTCCAGACTGATCCTCGTCAACAAACTCAGTCGAAGCGCTGTTTTTGGTCGAACATACTCAAAATGGTTTTTACTTGTCAAACAATTTAAAATTGAAGACTTACATTGCATGAAGTCAATTCGGTCACACCAGTCAAGCCTGAGCCAAAATCGTCAAAAAATACTAACTTGCGGCCATGGTTAAAAAATTTATCTCAAAAATGACATTTCCAAGCCAAACTTACTAAAAGAGTTCTGATTGGTTTTATCCGCTTTTTAGCATTTTCATTTAATACAGATAATACAGCAAAATTATATTCATATTTTCTTGACTCTCAAACAATAGAGAAAACTGAAAATCTTTTTATTAAGTATGCGTTCAATTTACTTCATGTTTTGAAATTCGGGTTCCGACTTTCTATACGAAGGTAACGGAATATTTGTGCTCGGGGTATTTTTTGTCTTCAGACAAATTTCGACTTTTTAACTAGCTATTTATGACAGATTTTTTTTATATCATTCAAAAGGTATTGTTGTTCTGATCTTAAATTTGAAAAATTATTTCACCTGTGACCTTTTTTCGTAAAGTTATGGCGGTTTAAAGATTTCCACATATAAGCTCTTAAGCAAAATTTCTGTTTGTTCACTCAGCAGTAAGACTGAAAATTATATCTGTCAAAGTTAAGCCCAATGAATGTGAGCTATAATTGTTGTTCCGACTTTCGATACGAAAGTAACGGAATATTTGTGCTCAGGTGGGTTATTTTTTTCTTCAGACAAATTTCGACTTTTTAACTAGCCATTTTTGACGGAATTTTTTTATATCATTCAAAAGGTATTGTTGTCTTGAGCTTACATTTGAAAAGATATTTTATCTGTGATCATTTTTCGTAATTTTATGGGGGTTTAAAGATTGGCTTTTTGGCCAATTTGAGACAATTAACGCGCTATATATTTAACGTGCTATTAACGCGTAAGCGGAGATTTAATCCGTCGTAAAAATTGTTCCAATTTGGTTGAAAGAAGCTTATTTACCATAATTGATGTGTTACTGAAAACGAAATTTATCACTTTGTTCTTTATATGGCGTGTGGGGGGGATGATTTTCACAAAATTTCTCATTTTTTTAAATTTTGTTTCCTTTTTTTTTGTAATTTAATTTTTTCATGTTATTACTGTTTCAAAGACCTGAAAAGGCAGTCAGAACATTCCGGGCTTCGCCCTGATACGAGCAGTCTTTTTTCAACTTTTTTTTTGATTTCACAATAATTTTTTTTGTATTATGAAAAAAAAAATTTATGTTTCAACTCTGGTCGACGTTTTAGTTAAGTATACGCAATTTCGTGTACATCGCGTATAACTATCCGCATATGTACATTTTTGGAAAATTTTTTTGCGGCAGTACAGAAGCCATATATCAAAAATGGATCAAAAAGTCGAGAAAAAACTAAAAAACCGATTGAGTTGAAGTCACCTTAAGTTTTTTGATATTCAGTAAAATACAATAAAATTTTTACTTTAAAGTTAAGGCAAAGACAGATGATATAAATATATTTTTAACGTAACTTTTTCAGGTAGAATTACCCGAAAAATTATTTTATGATAATTTTTTTTCAGGTTGTTAAACTTGGTCTTTAAAGTGTAATTAAGGTAGTGCAAATTAACACTAGCAATTTCTTGAAACTTTTTATAAATCGAAAAGTATTGTTGTCCCGGTCCCATATTTTGAAAAAATTCAAGGGTGATCGTTGTTTTTAACGTTATGGGTTTAATGTTTAAATATTGCCAATATGGCCCAATTGGGATAATTAAGGCGTGATATATTTAGCGCTATTAGACGACAAGCGGAGATTTAATCCGTATTGGAATTCATTCCAAAATGGTTGAAGCAGGCTAGTTGTTATAATTGCTTGGTTACTAGAAGCGAAATTTGCTTTGCAAAATTCGGCGAAAATTTTTTAAATATTTTTGCGAAACATTTTTTATAACCGTTTGAAACTTGTTGTGCTGCGTAAGAAGCTCACTTAAATATAATTTTTGGCAGAATTTGACGTGGTCGTTTTGGCATATTTTTCACTGACTAAAAAACGCGAAATTATCCGTTTCTGGAGTACCATTTTGGGCTCAAAAACAGATTGTACCATTTTAATTCTGCTAAATTGTAATCAGGGTTTGGTTTCTTTGTTTTAGATTTGAAAACAGTCTGGATCGTCTTGATATTTAGATAAACACTGTATATTAAGCAAAAAAAGTTTTTCGCTTTCAGGTATGTCCAGCTTCTGTTCAACCTCAACTTCGTTTTGTCGCCATTCGTGTACGCAGTGATGGCAGAGAGGTTTCGAAAGGATCTGGCCGATGTCTGGGCCTCCCTTAAGCAACACATCCCCATCCGGTTTGCTCGACTGATTACCCGAGCCACAAGAACCCCTCAATCACAAACTCGAGTGGGAAGACCAAGCACTTCAGTCTCGGTAAAAGTTGAGACAAAAATATCAACCACTGTCTGAGCGCGGTGGCTAATTTTATATTGATGTATTTTCCTAGCTTATCATTATATGATGAGTTTTTGTTGAAAGATTTTTATTCATTATTTAATCTCCTGCATAAAACTCCATGAAATTTTGCTCTGTAAAAGTAGATTGCAAGCTGACAGACTATTTCTAAGTCTACGTGCGGATGGAAATCGCATCGCTGATTTATTACACTGATTCGGATTTGACAGAACATTTGTTTTTTTTTTCACAAAACTTCTGAATGATTGGAGCAAAAACGTAAAATTGAAAATCATTTCAACAAAAAATGTCCGAAATTATTTTGATTGGTTCTGCGATAATTAATAGCTGATAATGTCTGCAGCGAAACGTCATGGGGCAAATTTGTAAATAGCCAATATGTAATGGCTACAAAGCTAAATCGATTGAAATATTAATTAGATGTTGCTATCAATTTTGCAAAAATGCTTAAAGAATTGATATTACAGTCATCTGAAGTTTTCATAAATCTTAAATCATAAACCATAGAATCATAAATCCATGTATGACCATGGTGCTTACAATAATTTCGTGCTTGAGAGACTTTTGATAAGTTTTGACTGCAAAACTAGAGGCAACATATAGCAATGAAGACAATAAGGCTCGAATCAGGATGCCCGTATCAGCGCTTGTTTCTTGAGGGCGATGCAACATCACCCATTCCAGAAAAGAAGCCAAGAAATTGGTTCCCCAAAATGAGCTGCAAACAGTTCGAATGTCGAATGTTGGTCCTTTCACTTGTGGATAGTTTTTTACTATTTAGACTCTGAATATTCCAGCTGTCCCTTTATGTGTCAGAATAATTTGGAACAAAAAACTCGATAGAATTTTGTTTAAAATAAAAAAAGTCTTTGTCTGAAACTTCTACTTCCCTATACAAAGTATGGTACAAATCATAAAATTTTCACTTTACTAGCTCATAAAGTGGATCAATTAGTGTGCCTTAAATTAATTTGGAATGAATTAAAAGAATGATATGAATTTTTATTCAAAACTGGCTCCGATACTCCATAATTAATGTAAAACTGTGCCACGTTATTTACATTTTTTTAAAATTGAACTCAGGCTATTGATATCTTCATGGTAATTTTTAAAGCTGTAACCAAAAAAAGGGCTACGTGAAAAGGGCTATAGAGAGCCAAATAAAAAACGTTTGTCCCGGATAGCCAAAAAAATATGTTTCCGGTTTCCAAAAAAATTAACTTAGCCATACATTTATTCAGGGGAGTTCCATTTCTCATGAAATCTTCTCAAAAAAAAAATGAAATGTATGGTTTTTCCACAAATGCATCAACATCCCTAAACGATTTTTTATGTGCAAAGCTTCAAATTCATTATTTTGACTGGATAACACTTAATCATGGCGTTGCACAAGGTACTGTTTTGGGACCATTAGTTTTCAGTGACATTGTATTCAGTGCAGTTTTCTGATGATACAAATATCTTATGTACAGGAAACTCAATCAAGGACCTAATAACTTCATTTCTCGTAACACTAGAAAAATTAAATGAAAATTTGAATAAAAACACACTTGTGTCCTTAATGTTGAAAAAACGGAACAAATTGTCTTCGGGGAAGAGAATAATTTCGAAAAAAATATAGGGAAAAAACAATACCCAAAAAAGAACATGACAGGTATCTTGGAGTTTTAGTGGACAAAAATCTCACTTTTTCAGCTGAATTGAAGAAGTGTTTAAGCAAAATGGCTGTTGCAATTAAGTCAATATACCGCGTTCGACACATGATACCATTAGAAACAATAGTTATGCTTTTCAGATCACTAGTTTTGTTACTTTATTTTTCTGTTCAACATTTTTAAAAACCTTTCCATGTCTCGAATTAACAGAATAAACAGACAAATTAATTGGCGAATCAAATTGTGCTTTCTCCTCAGAAACTATGATCAGGCATGAAATCTATTTCTCAAGTCTAAGGTCTTACCAGCCGAAATTTTCATTTCCCAGTATTGCTTGACTAGAATTTTGGATGAGGTGAAAAATAGTTTCAAAAGTGAAATTGGTAGGCAGTTAATCTTTAACTGAGTACCTCTGAAACTAAAGGTAAGCAAAAAACAAATAGTGGCCTTTTTGGATTTAAAAGCTAAAGTGGACTCATGAAAAATGGTCACATGTGGGTGTTACCAAAAACACACTGATATCGGCACTATTCTGAATTTTAGAGGGTGCGCACCTTTGCAGTACAAAAGAAACGTTAATGAAGGGACGTTTCATAGGGTTTTCAGAACTAACTCAATATGAGAAAATTTTGACCGGGCATTGGAGAAAAATTGGAAAAAATGGGTTGAAAATCATTATCCAAAAATGTGGTCGGACTGTAACATTCGCCCGGAAGTACATATCGACGGAAAATAAAGCTAAGTTCTAAATTGACTGGCTAGCGTCTAAACACAGCTCTACATGCTTTTCACCGTCTCTGCCAAAGCCAGGTCTTTTGGTGGTCTTTCTAACATCGCGTCGACAAAAAAACCTCACTGTTTCCGGCTTCGATCAGAACGTCCGGCTTCTAATTAATCCGGCTGTATCCGGCTTCTAATTAACTTAACTATATGCAAACCAGTGAGCTCATGGCTGGGTCTCAGTATCCCCAGACCACGAGGTCACTCCTAAAAACAGGGCTACTACTTATTTACTATATTACCATTGTTTTTATTCAGTAGATAAAAATCATCATCTCCATCGAAGATGGATCAACACTTTCCCTCAAGTCCTAGCTTCTCATAACCTGAAAACGAATTTGGATGTTATTAATTCAATTCAGCAATTCTCCAGAAAGCTAAAAATTTGTTAAAATAATGTTTAATTTATATACCGAGACCATTCCTGATTCTGGAATCCGGAGAAATAACATCGTTATTTCTTTCCGTAAGGCTGGGCACGTCGTCCCAACACCCTTCCTGGTTCTCGTGAATTGCCTTGTAACGATTGTAACTGCACAATCGTTTCAACTCGGAATGGTCCTCCAACAATAATTTCAACCGCTGTTCCGATTTGTCTTGTTCACCTTGTCTATGTCAACGAAAATCGTTGTTTTCTCTGATGTTTTTGTGTTTCGCCGTTTCAGTTGGTGCGAAATCTCAAGGTCGTGACGTGTCTTTATTTCAAAACGAATAATTAAAAGTTAGCATGTTAGTCAAAACTAATCCCTCCCGATTCATCTAATTGTTCAATTAGCGTCACTAATCCATAAAAACCATCAATTCTCTCGGTCAGATGTTCCGATAAAAACTCGAATTTAAAATTGCGTTTTTTCCATTCTGGTCGAATGTCACAAACTCCACGGACAACCCGGTCAATGTCCTCATTCAGTCCTGTAGTCTTGATCAAAATGGTACAGTGCCATCGAACAGAATTTATAAAATGCATGAAATCTTTTTTATCCACGTCATATCGCCTCACTGCAAATTGCAAATGGCATCACACTACACTATTCTAGCCTTCCAAATTTTTTCACTAATCTGCACTTTCGAGGATATAACTTAAGATAAAACCTTTTTTTTCTGACTTTCCCCGTCTATGCCCCGATTTAAAATTTTTTCTTCTAGGTTTAAAAAGTGTTGGGACGCGGGACAGTCCTGCCAACCAACAAACTAAAATTATTCTATTATGCTTCTTCCCTTCGGAAATTTAGTTGTTGTTGGTCCTGAATATTAAAATTCAGGAATTCGGCGGTTAGAAGGAACAAAGAAATAATCTCCCTCTTCAAGAGATTACCCAAGCCTTTCATGTCACCACAAATTGATCAGTCGTTTTAGCTGATTGAAAACAATCATGCAGGCTGGATTATTTAATATACTCTCCACTCAAGCCTCTCTAAAGAAATAGTAAGTGCCTCTAAAGCCACTAACTAAAATCATAATGCAAACTTATAAATGCATCAAGTTCTTTAATCTTCAAAAATCAACTAAATGTTTTCTCTTCAGTTTCAATTGCAAACTTAGTTGCTTTGTTTCTCATTTGAGTTTTCTCACACAAAACAATTCTGAGTGTTAACATCTTCTCTTTTGTTGCTTCTTTGGTTCTTTTTTTTGTTCACTCTTTGTCTTCGTCGTTTAGAAGTTCTAAAACTTCTAAATTCTTCTACTTTCTCTTCTTTTTGCATCTTGTTATTCGGCTTATTTGTCAATGTTCCATCTCCTCCTCCTGTGACATTGACTCCGCACTTTCAGTCTCAGTGTCTTGCAACACTTCGGTGGCTATTCTGACGCTGTTGGAGGCAGTCCTCCAACACTTCTGCTCTTCTACTCTTTGCTTGCAACAAGGTTGAGGATCAGTGTTAGTTTCTCTGTTTCGGCAGAAGCTGTTGTGGAGGCACAACGTCACGTTTCTCTCCAAGTCTTCCTTCAACATCTCTTCTCTTTCTCTTCCATGTCATTCACTTGTCATAGAAGTCTTCTTCACTGCGGTGGTTACTGCATTCGGACGAGTTACAAAAGCTCGCTTGAAAGCTCCTACTCCAATGTCCAGCGGATACGCACTGTCCACTCTGCTGTGCTTCGACACATGCTTCTTGGCATACTCGTACAAACATGCAGTCATGTTGGCTCTGAACCATGGCATCAGTCGTCTTCTGGCCCAAATTGGTTTTCACTTCCATCTGAATGTTCAAGAATTTGCACGTTGTCCCAAAAAAAGCTAAACATTTTAGACAATCCATATCCTGCAATTGCTCTTTCTTAGGCTTTTTGTCTATTGTTCTCTCTTACATGAGCTTCCATCCATCCTGTCGCCATCATAACTCCCACTATCAATATCGTTAGGGGCTGTGATGAATCTGGTAAACCCATGGAGAGCCGCTCTCCACAGTACCAGATCAACACCAGATTACTACGCCCGGGGTACCACCATGTTTGTAGCAAGCAATGGCAAGGGAACTCATTATGTGTCGACGTGATGCTTCTCCAATTACGCTTTTGTGACGCTCCCAGTAGTGGCTCTACTTCCATTATCACTCGGTGGACTTCATCATTTTCATCTACTGCATTGTAATCTGTGAATGTTGACCCTTTCTGCTTTTTTCTTTCAAAGTCTCTGAAGTTCCCACTGGCGTATCCCATGAACTTCTTTCCCAGAATCGATTCTAATTCCTCTTTGGTTCTCTCTGGAACTGCTGAGA